TTCTGTATCTGTTTATATGCTTGTTTGGACAGACTGAGAACACAGGTCATTATTTCTGTAAACTGATTAATGCATTTTGTGTTATATATAACAGTTAGCATTAACAATAACACAATATGCTTTTTCTCAGCATCAACTAGTTAATGCCTTTTTGTCTTCCTGCAGCCCACAAGTTGTTACTCCTACTTGCAAGGCAAAAAGGCTCCCTCAGCATACACTGAGAAAACACAGCTGGGACCTTCCCACTTCACCAGGCCTAACGCTCTCTGTTATAAAATCTTTACAATCCTTGACATCAGAGATGAATTACATCTCTTGGGGGTTAAGTACAAATGAAACTAGTCCTTCAGTATGAACATATTTTAAAGAACAGCAATAAAATAGCAGTCAACAAGCTAAACAAACCACCTCCTAAAAAACACTTGTTGCTCCAACATTCCAGTCAGTGCAACAGAAACACCCAGAGCACTTTTATGTACAATGGCTGCAAGCTTTTAGTACAAGATTCCAGTGACCTTATACTTGCACTTTGAGCTGCCCACCTCATAAGACAGTTAACTACTTATAAAGTGATGATTAATCATGGGGCCCTATCTTATAGTTTACAGGATGTTAAATTGGAAAAAAGTTTTATTGGAACAGATTAAGAATGCAAAAGAAGGAAAATATACAGCAACTTATACATTAGCTATATTTAAAAATAAGATTTTCAGAGGATTATTCCAAATAGTACATTAAAGCAGCTTGAATTTTACTAGGCAATGACAGTATTCCTGGAAAAATGCGCTACTAGCTTAGAAAGACCTGAATAATTAACAAAAAGTATTTCATAAATGGCAAATTCAAATTTCTTAGTGCAGGCTTCCAAAAAACAGCATCAGAAATGCAAACCTACATGAAGAACATAAACCTTCCCAAACATTAAAGTCTGGGGGTTTGGTTTTGCATGCATTCAAGGGTTGAAGCCATTATTATCACAGTATGATTGGAACCCAACTAATAGCTTGCTGCTGCCAAAACAGTGGAGTTTGGTTTAATCTCCTTACAGTCCTCCTCCCTGCCATCGTCCGACCACTTGCTTTAGCCACTCTCCTTGAGCCAGGCACTCACTTGACCGCGTGGCACACTGACAGGCCTGACATTTGAGGAACCTCAGTTTTGGCTCTGTCAGAGGCTGTCTTTGCTCCTAGTTCTCCCATGTGCTTAAAAAGAAAAAAAAAAAAGGGAAAACTTGATGACATGATAAATCTAACTCCAGATCTCTCAGATCTCTGCTGCCACTGTCCAAACAGAAAACTCATGATCACGTTCCTGCATGCATAGAATTACTGGGTCAGCTTAAGGTTGAATCATTTTTAGATAATGAAGGGCTTTTAGTTTGCTAAAGGTGAAATTGAGAAAAAATGAGGCTGGACTAAAGGATCTCCAGAGGTGCCTTCCCACCTGTGTGATTCCCTTATTTACCTTGGCAGTTTCTTCCCATCAGATGGCTGCCAGTAGGCTATAGGGGATAGGACAGATATAGAGGCATCTGTCACACTGTAATGAGCCACAGGAAAAGGAAGGAGAGCAGGGCTACACTTTGTTTCAGTAAACTTGTGCTTTTAAGGAAACCATTTGGTGTTTACATTTCTACTTATTAGGCAGCTTACACCTTCTGTTCTGAAAAAAAATCAGAGGCAATCAAGCTAAAATGATTTCTAAGGTCATATTTCCTTTTATATTTCCTTTTATATTTAGAAGCAAGAATTAATCAACTCCTCTATCAGTAATTATTAAGTAATTTTAGTAGACTCTACACTGTGGTAATGCTATTTTCTTCTTTTTACTGAACCCAGGATGGTAAAACTTAGAAGAATCTCCGATCACATGCACTCTAAGACAGGAGTACATTTGGGAGCTCTAGTGTCTGTGCAGTTGAGAGCCTGAAGTGAAACGCAACTCTATGAGCTGCGCAGAACTGACACAAATCCCCCAAAAGACATCCAATTTAAGAGATCATTCAGGTTTGCCCTTGCCAGTACTCCCTGGGCATGACAAAAATAGTTTTGCTTTATATTATACAGCCATATAGTAATTTATAGATGTGTTATTTTCTTTACTTAGCTAGCAGAGGTAATACCCATGGTTCCTTAATGGTGTTTATTTTAGGTAGCTTCACACAAGACAAGGACTCTGCAAACCAATACAATAAATATCCTGACCTTCCCTAGACAAACAGATCACTCTTACAAACAGATCACTCTTTCATCGCACAACTAATCTGAAGATTAAGTACTCTTCAGTACTTTACTTTCATTTAGTATTTAGAGT